GCGAAAACTTTTAGAAAAATCTCTCTAGGAGGTCGGTTTAGAAGGCCACTCTTAATAGAAGGCCACCCTAAAAAGGTTGATCCGACGGGACACAAGAGAAAGCCATGCCCTTCTATTCTGGGGGGGGGGTTTACAAACAGTGCCTAACATGTGCATTATTTCTCCTCTTTTTTAAATCATAATCCTGTTTACTAAGAAAAAAAAAGATAGTTACAACAAATTTGACTAAGCAAGCAGACCAAGGTCTATTAGAGCTTTAAGAGTGATAGACAAATCATGATTATATATCATTAATCATGGTCACAAAAGTCACAATCAGACGTGGAAGCATTAATCAAAATGAAATTATTATTATGAATAAAATAAATATAGTTAACTATGCAGTCTAACCTTAATATTAGTTAAAAACTGCGTTTGCTTTGAAAGGTATTTTTAATAAACAGTTTTTTCGTTTTGAAATCTCTCTATTATAAACTACTACTCAATAATAAATGTAAATCTTTTTTGATGTTATGATTCCGAATTCGAAATATTAAATAATTTACAATAATAATAGAATCTTAACTGTATTTCTTGTTTGGATAAACCATATTTTTCTAATGAATATTTATGTTGACCATGTTTGTGTTGAGGATTTTGTTTTAAATAATATTTTAATGATTGATCATAGTCTGATGTATATTCAAACTGATAGAAAGAAAAGAGATTTTTCATTGTTTCAACAGGATTTTGAATTAAATCTTTGTATTGAATGTGATAAAATTGATTCCCGGATGATGCATCTGAAAAAAATTATATACATAAACATAGAGTTAAAGTTAGATACTTTAGTTCCGTATTTTAATTTTATTTTAATTTTGACAAAACAACAAACGTTTCGACCTCTTTTAATTGAGATCTTCTTCAGTGTACTTAATAAAATATATAAAAATATAAAATATAGTTAAAATTCTATTTCATATAACTTGTGCAGATTTAAAATGTAGAGTGAGTGACTGCTTAAACTTTATATTGTTGCACGCCTATTTATAGTTTGTTTTTCATTTTCTTTTCTTTTTAACAACTAACTATTAATCTCTCTCTCATAAGGCATACTTATTCGTATGAACATCGAAGAATAACAAACGAAATAAAATAAACTAAAATACATCTTTAGAATATTTACAGACACAAAGGTTATTTTCTCTCTCTCGATATAGAAGAACAGATTAAGTCAGGCCGTATGATATTGAAAAGAGAATTGTAAACGAATAGATATATTATTAAGTCATTCTTTATACATATCACCGATAAAAAAAAATTAAAGTTTGTTTAGAGTTAAAGAAAAGTGCTTTTTCGTATTCAGCACACTTGATAACCTGGAAAATTTTCTGTTCTTAGCGAGGGGTACCGTCAAAAAGTTAAGAAAAATTTTCGAACAAATTGACGCAGAAAAATCTACATGGTAAAATTAAACAATTTTAAAAATTTTTCTTAACTTTTTTGGCGGCTCCTCTCGCTAAGAACAGAAAATTTTCCAGGTTATCAAGTGTGCTGAATACGAAAAAGCACTTTGCTTTAACTCTAAATGAACTTTAATTTTTTGTCGGTGATATGATTTTTCCTCTTTTGTTTGCGTAAACTATACCTCGTATAATTATATCTATATGTTGTGGTCTGATTAGTGGTAGTATTACTTATAATTTCTACAGAATTAACGACTGATTCGTCTACTATCGGGAAAAAGTTCTTCCCTGTTCTGGGTTGGACCCACTTCTAGACAGCAGACTTCCACTGCGGGCTTATTCCTTTGCATATACGGAACTAAAGTATCTAACTTTAACTCTATTATATATCTAGTCCGTATCAACCAATAGTTTTACTCTCAATACATAAATATGTTTATTTTAGTAGTGGAGTGGTACTTGTATCGGCAAAATGGGCTTTGAATGTGCGAGTGAAATACATAGAATATTCAAAGAAAGATCTGTGCATAAACTTGTCACATTACATCTTGGGCTGAAATGTTTTTTGTTTGTTCGTTGCATGTTCGATGTTATCTGACTTATTTTAAAGAATCTTTTCTCATACCAAAGTGTGTCTGTTGCCTATGCAATTGTAAAATAGATCAAAGTGATCAATTTTTGGAACTCTGTCCATCTTATATAGAAATTTTCACAGAAATCTCAAAATTCTGATTAACTAAAAACTGCCAAGTTTCTTAAAGTTGTCAGCGGTTTTCATCTCGATTTTGTGGGATCGAATTAGGAAAGAATCTCAACTGCGAGTAAAACCGAATAGTCTCGAATTTTTCAAAAGTTATTTTTGTTTTCTTTTCCAGGGAAGAAAACAACCCTTCTTAGAAACACGAGAAAAATTTTAATTGTTTATGAGACTATGCCGTAAAACTCTAGATTTTTAGTCGTACCTAGAAAATCAGGATGTTCGTAATTACTTGCATGCACTTGACCTGAAACTAAACGTGTTGCAAGTTTATCAGCCAAGTGCTACAACGATTGTTTCGGAACTTGGAACAGTCCTAATGTTGTAGTGTCCCTGCAACAGGTTCTCAGAACTACAAACTACAATCTAACCTATTTTGTATAAGATAAACTTATACAGAAATAAAGAAAGAAAAAAGTATGCTCCTGAGTCAAGTGGAAGTAACTACTGACACACCGAAAACAATCATCAAGGTCAACAGAGATAATTGATAAAGACGTAATCAAGACAATACACAGAATACCTTCGAACTTGAAGGATGTAAGGCCTGAGTCAGACTATGACCTTAGCGAAGAATATCATCAAAGCGAAATGGTCGTTGTAGCACTCAGTTGATGAATTGTCAACATCTTTAGTTTAAGGTCAAGTGCATGTAAATAATTGCTAACATTCTGTTTATCTAGTTATATTTCATCAGTTAAGAATTCTGGCTAACTATCTTGAAACACTTCTTTCTCCTGTGTAGAAAGAGAGAAGTAAAAGTGAGAAACACTTTTTTTCTCAATACTGTTGCATAAAAGAATCTGATTTGAATGAAAACTATCGCTTTGTTCTGCTGTTTCCTCAAATTATTTTCTATAATGAAATATTTACCAGATTCTTGTTCATTTTTAACAATAAGATCAGCTAATAAACCACTAACATGTAATGCTTTCCTTCCACTCTCGTTAAGATCAATATAATTTGTCTGTGAACCAATTGACATTAGACTTGCTAATGATGGCACAGTTTCTAAAGGATCACGATGTATCATAAGAATTTTACAATTTGGATATACCGATACCAACGACTTCAATCCTAACAAATGGAATGGACATTTAAATAAACAGTTATTTCGTTGTTTTCTGTAACATAGTAATTGTAACAACACGCGATGATATTCATAAAATAAGTGATAATCAAAAGTATTTTCGTCTAATAAATAGTTGAGTAGTCGTACTGGATCTTTGCCGGTTACAGCTGATAATAAATCTAAACCCATGTGAAAAAATAACATTATACATTCTTCAGGTTCTTGACTATGAAAATAATGGACACTGGGCATTTGGGGCATTATCCTCTGCTGAAAAATCTCTATAATTCGATCGAAATCTTTTTGTTTTTGTTCACTATTTTCCACTGGTAATGATGGTGCAACACAGTCATATAGTTTTGGATAACACCATTTAGTTGAATCTAATGCTAGAAGATTATATAAAAGTGTTGTACCTGTACGAGGTAAACCCATAATACATAAAGATTCTCTAATTTCTAGTTTTTTTATCTGAGGATACAGTTTTAAATTATGAACAATTTTTAATCGTTCAGTTAGTATTCTTACAAACCATTCACGCCGGGCATAATAATGAATCGGACAGATGGATGGATCATAAGTTTGAAGTTCTGTTTGATAGTTGAAAGTTTGTTCGATTAAATTCATTTCATCTGTATTTCCAAAATCATCAAGTTGAGCCTTTATGATAGCTTGTTGTTTAAACCATTGAATTGATGGTGTTAATTTAAATAGACTGAATTTAAATAAAAATTGATACAGAATGCATATAATATTGAAGAAATGGATTAATATAGGTGTTGTTCGATTATATGTATAACGCTTGTGCAATGATGATGGTTGTTCGTACAGATTATGCAGAAAAGCTCTAATTAATATTCGGAGCGATATCAGAAGAGCACCGAGGAAGATCAACCATAAGTACATAATGATAATTATTCACTGTACAACGTCCTTGAACGTAGCGCTTATCGATTCAATACTGGCAAATAGCGTTTTGGATTTACATACAACAACTATAAGGTTAGAATAAGAACGTTATTCGTTTTACATCGTTTTGCTGCAAGCCCTAAAACATACATCAGATACTCGCGCCACCATATCTCCAAAACGACTTTCACCTTAAAACCATTTCGTAGCTGCAAGATTTCTCAGTACCGAAAGATCGCCGAGGGCTCGGGTAGGTCTTAAACTGAACCTAACACATGTAGCTAGAGGCTAATAGAGCCCGATTTTTTATATTCGATTTAGATTTGTGGTTAGAAAAATATCTTTATGCAACCTGATGAGACTTTTTCAAATTTTGGACTTTTGATGCTGACCATTAATTTGATTTTACAAATAACTTACCTTGAAGCCATCCAAAATTAAATAAGCATAACGAGACCAAGTATACAGTTGATGGCACACAGGGACGCCTATCCTGTGGGACGTTTGATACAGAATGCCTCAAACAAAAGTAGATGGGATGCTGTTTTATTGTAAAAATTCATTCTTCAGGTCGTACACTAACGACTCGAACCTTGAAGGTGGTACAAGGTTCGAGCTTAGGTTGGTGCTTGGGTGGGGATAGACGCAGCTGATAGCATGCTTTCCGTTCAGAGGTATTACTACGATTTTCAGAGACTATCAAGTCAAAACGTTTCGCTTCTCAGATCGCCATGAATCATCGAACTTTATGAGTGATAAATGTCCTCCTCTACTTTTTGGAAAATGACAGCCGATACTCACCGTTTCTAAAAAAATACTAAGCGTGAATAGTAGGGGTATATTGATATTCTTTGATTTTTTAACGTTTTTTATGAAACTAAGTATATTTAATATAATTGAACATTACGCAAAATCATTTTACATAAAAAGCGAGCTTTCGATACTTCATAATATCATCATACTCGATAATGTGAAGTATCCGAAGATGCGGCTTTTATGTAAAATAGTTTTATGAAAATATTTTTCAATTATATTAAATAAAATATACTTAGAATAGCAGGGGGAATCGAGACCCTTTTGTATACCATGCTTGTGTTGCATGGTATAAATCTAATGGATTTAGTGAGAAGGAACAGTTCTTCATGCAGTGAAGGGGTTGAATAAATCACTTTGACAAATGTTATTACTTTTTCAACAGAAACATTCCTACACGAGCGATTCCAAGAGTGGACAATCCATGTGCAGCTGGATCTAGGATTAATGAAAGTAATTTGAATTTCTCCAACCACCGATGCTACTAGCATTTCGCCTCGTGCTACTCACACACATCTCACTAAGCAACAATAATCGGTATCGTGTCTCCGCGGAGAGCTGATACCTCATTGCATAGTAGATTGTGAGATCAGACTGTCTTAGACTTGTTTTGAGCTAAACTTTCAAACTAACTGTGTGTATTTGACACGGCAAGATCAATAACAAAGATATACAGCAGCGACCTCCTCCAGCGACTCTCCTATCAAAACTTTTCCCCTCACCTCTTATAATCACTTGACGTTCCAGCTTGGAAAGTTCGAAAAGCATTTTGTGCAAAAAGATAGAAAGATGGTAACGCAAATCTTTCGAACTCCATATAGGCATCCACCAATACAACATATTGGATCTCAATAATATTGGTCACCCAATATATTGGGTTTTCACAACGTTGCTGTGTATTGGGTCGCTTGAATTCAGCCTACTTTTACAGTACAGACGCATGCTCTATATCCCGTCTTGAATCAAAATATAACCCAATCAGACATGCACCGATTAATAATCGATATTAGGGCATTCAGCAAAGTCATTCCGCATCAGTTATAAAAGAGCACTTAGAGCTGTAGAAAAATGTTTGTTCTACCAAACTGAAGTGCTAGAAAAATTTTTAGATTATATATAGAGAAAATGTAATAAATCGAAAACGCACTAAAATCGCAGAAAATAATCGATAGTCGATTATTTTTTCGCAGTTTTGCTCAGTTTTGGATGCTTATATTTCTGTCACAAATAACACTATAATTTCTTTCTGCACTTCAGTTTGGTGGAGCAAACCTTTTTCTACAAAAGGAGCCATTCGGCAGCCCTAAGTGCTCTTTTATAACTGATGCGGACCGACTTTGCTGAATGCCCTAATATCGATTATTAATCGGTGCATGGTTAATCCCGATCCATTTCTATATCCCAGTTGGGATCTATAGCTCGATAGAGATATATATTCCGACTGGGATAAGCTTCCCCATGTTTTTATGAATATAAATGATATTAAGGTTAAAAGTACGAATCCAGTGTATTGTGGAGGATTATGGCACTTTCGTCACACCACACTTTCGTCATTATGCCGAACGCACTTTGGTCATACATGACGAAAGTTCCTTGGCTGGAGGTACTCCATGGGAACTGTCGTCACCAAAATTTGAATTTTGGTCACACACACCAAAAATTTCGTTGCATGAGGCGAATTTTTGCTACAGTAGTGGTGAAATTTGGTCACATTTAAGGAACGTTAAATGCAGCCAGTATTCCTTAACAAGTGCTTACAGAGTAAGTTCATACGTTTTGAACAATAAATCTTTGTTCACTGTAAGTTACAATTTATGTAGAAGTAAATTTCCGTCACAGCCACAAAACGCACTCCGAAAACGTATATATACGCCACTATTTACTCTGTCAGTACTTGCTAAGGAAGTACTGCAGTGTAGTAAATACTAAGTGCCGCTCTTACTAAGGGAGTGCTCCCGATCACATAATAATCTCACAACACTTGATTCTCTATGTATGATTCTAGATATGTTTCTTTATGTTTTAAGGTGTAAGTAGTACTTAGTCAGGACACATAATCTGTAAGTACTTGTTAAGGAAGTGCTGCAGTGTAGTAAATATTAGGTGTAGCTCTTACTGAGGGAGTGCTCCGATCACATAATAACCTCACAGCACTTGATTCTATTCTGTATTTATAGCGGTATTTACGTGTGATGAAAGTTAAGCAGGAACCGTTAAAAACAAGGATATTTCGTCACACTCGACGGAACTTTCATCATCAAAGTGTGAATTTTCGTCACAGCCACAAAAAGCACTCCGAAATTAACGGTAACTTACGTCACTATGCTTGTTTCTGAAAAACGTACTTTCGTCACGTGTGACGAAAGTGCCCCTCCCCCCCTATGATGAAAGTGCCTTTTATCATTGTGGAACCTAATATTACCCAATATTATTGTACAATATCTTCAATAATGATTGGTATTGGTGAATGCCTAACTTCACATGATTCATTATTTTCGTTTAAAATATAATAAATTTATTTGATTTCCATTCCTAACTCTAGCTATATGATACAAGCATTTCGGTAGTGGCGGAGAATTTTTTATCGGTAGACTGATACATTCACACTAACAAACGTTTATACCTATTCTTGTGATGACTTTGAATTAAAACATACCTTTAGTATCTACAACGATCACGAACTGTGAACTCAATTTTTTTTTCCCTTTTTTGAAAGAGAACTTTTGTCGTTATATGTAATTTATCGATTCAGTATGACTGCGTACGTCGAACTGAATGTAATGTGACCTTCTTATCGTAAACAACATCTTCATATTGTAATGAGCGTTAACGTCTATTTTTTCTCTTTCTTTGGTTCTTTTCTATTGTTTTTTTGTTTATCGAAAGTGAATTATGAAAAATTACCGATTAAAAAAGCTGTTAGTGTGTATATACGGACAAAAAAGCACTGACTCGCTCGCTACGTACATAGTTTCTGCATTAACTGATCAGTTCAAGATATAAGAACGAATGACAGATGTTTAAGTGTTTCCTCGAAGTTAAAAAAATACATACCTTTCTTCATTTCAAATTTTAACGACCTAATTTTATATTTTTCATTAGTAAAGAGGCAAACACTGTTTTTTCATAATAATAACAATATCATTCGGGTATACAGAACTCAGGTATATAAAGCTTTTTCTTCTCCTGTGCTGACTACAGGGGAAGGCAGGATACGTGACTAGGGGTGGCACTTTCCCGTTCCTTTCAAGAGTAACGATAAAGTAGTATCTTTTATTTCAAAAGTAAAGATTAAAGATATAATGCATATCTTTACTCTTTTTTGTCGTAAAGAAAAAGAAAAACTTTTCGTTTGTTAATAAAAAAAAGAAGTAGGAAAGAGAAAGTGCTACCCCGGCATAGGACAGGGCAGGATCGTCCTTCTCTATGCACACCTCTGGTTCTGAGGAACGTTTAGTGAATGACAGTTTTCAAGGATATTTTTCTTTTTAGCCGGGCTTTTGCTCCGGAACACGGCGGTATCAAAGGTTTATTCTATGTTGAATGTTCTACAGCTCATAGCAGTCTAATATAGGCGCCATAACTATGGATGCTCATACTAGTGCGTTGATAAAGCTAATTTGACATTCTGTAGTGAAGGTGAAAATGTTTAAGCTGCACGCATTTTGTGCTTTCTTCAGACCGAACATATGCAATACGAGGTTGAACGAGAACACTTACATTTTTTAAACAGTAGCCACTATGTGTATTCGTATCCCAGAATTCTACTCAACCAGGATATCGGACTGAGTCAATAAACAAAAGTCGACTTTCTTACTAGTAGGCCTTTGATTCTCTCACTGCTCTAATTGGTTTGTTAATCACTAAATTATACTGTACAAAATTAACTATTTTAATCTGCTCAAGGTAAAAAAAGTAAGATGGTGACAATTCGAAATTTCAGCTCAACACTTAGAAAAACAGGACAAGACTATTTTGAATAACCTTTTTAGTCAGGTAATAGTAAAACATGAAGACACCCGCAGACAGCTACACAGACATTCATAAGCAGAAATCCATGGATGTCTGTGTAGCTGTCTGTGATTGTATGTGTGCTGTCTGTGGGTGTCTTTATGTTTTACTACTACCCCTTTTTAGTCTGATGCTAAATTTAGTTTTGAAGTGTTCACATAGGTAAAAAATCATGCAGAATTCGTTGAACACACGTGAAGATCCCAGAAGATTCTCCAGAGAATCTCTGGAAAAAAACGTTTTCCTGAAAAATCTTGTAGAATTTGTTAGTTGAAGCAATGCTTGAAAGTTTCGTTTTATAGTCAAAAGATGTACAATCTAATTGTCTGCAAAACTTGATATTTGGTTTAGATATTTAAGTGAGATTCTTCAACACAGCATTTAAAGTATTCGAGTATCCAGTTTTCAAAATTATTTCGTTCAGACTTTAATTTTTTTAAAAGTGTTTCTAATCTTTCGGTTCAACATCTTAGTGGTTTTTTCCAAAATGTGAAATATTCTCGAGAATTGATTGATGTATTTTGTTTCAATCCATAACGTTTTTCTTGTTCGATATGACACTAGAATCGACTAATATGTGTGACAATTCTGAAAACTGGGATGCTCTAATACTTTAAATGTTATGTGGAAAGATCTCAATTAATGTTAAAACCAAATATCAAGTTTTACAGACAATTAGATTCTGCACCTTTTGACAATAAAAGGAAATCTTCAAGCACTGCATTAGTTAAAGTAACATTTCGCTTCAGAAAGTGATCAGTTCTCTCTAGACTAACGGTTAAATCCCAGCAAAGTTGCTAGTATTTTGACAGCCTATACTTTTCATGACAAAATGGTGAAAACTCGAACTGTGAATCACTTTTCTTGCAAATGGTATACAAAAACATCATTACTCTTACATTGTGAGATCGATAATAGTTTTCAATTTCAGATGCTGCAGTGGGTGCTATTTACTAAATACCAGAAAACTGAAACAAATCTTTTTCGTTTACGTTATTTAACAGCAACGAATGTATAGTCTATGGCAACAGTTTTCGAAGAAATGCGTCATTTGTTTTGATTAATTTTTTTATTATACAAAAATAAAATTCTTATAGAAAAATCTCCTTGAAAATATATAGGTTATATTCTCAACAACCGTTTCTTTAAAAAACTCTATTTATATTCATTTTTTTTCTCAATCAACTTTATTTCTGACTTTACAGATGAATAAATGAAACTTTGCTTTTATTACAATAGAACACAACATGTATTTAAGTACCATTTTTACAAAAACTAAAATACGATTCATTGACAAAGAAATGAATTCAAAACAATTTT